CATCCGGCTCGTGAAATTTAATAAATGTTCTCTCATTCGGATTTTTTTTCAAATTTTCCATAATTATATCCCAAAAGCTTTAAACATTTGGTTTTAATCCTCTTGTCTTTTGGGCTTTTTTATAATCTGTCAAAATTAAAGAATTAACTTAATCTGCTCTGATGAATGTATGTCATAAATAAACATATTAACAGATATTTCCAAATTTTTCTGCATATAGAAACCCCAATATAATATATGTATGGCTTTGCACTAAAAAATAAATTAAAGAAATATTTTATGTATAATTTTTCACTCCACCCAGTACTTTTCTTTCGCACAATCAGCTTGACAGCTGAGTTCCCTGATGAATAACATTCGTAGCCAAGCTTGGTCTACTACCAACCATCAAGAGCAAAATGTCTGATATACACCGAAGGTAAGGGATCTTGACTTCTGACTGATTAATGATCAGAGGCAGATTTAGATCCTTTTTTAGATAAAGAGGATTTCGATTGTTAAAACGAATTCTTCATTTGTAATGCAAGTATTCAACTAATCGGATTGGATTAATTCTTTCATAAAATACATTGGGAAATGAATAATAAAGTTTGATGTGTGTAGCTATATATAATTTTAACTTGTATTAATTGTCCAATTATTGACAACTCAGCAGATTTAAGCACATCTTTTTTAAAATATACAGTAGAAATAGCTAATAATAATTAATAGAATAAATTAAATAATTGAAAAAATATTTGAATAACAAAGGTGATTCAGCAAAGTTAATCATCATAGTTGTTCAATCGCAGTGTATAAAAATCTTGTAGTTAGCTGGCTGACAGTAACATGCAAAAACCTTTAAAAATATGGATAAAGGAAGTTGAATTACTAAAGATGGAAGTAAAAATCAAAAAACTAAGACAATTTCTATAAGTACCTAAATAAAGATAATTTAAGAACTAGATACCTACATTTAGAAGTACCATAGTAGCGTTATCACGAAGGAAGACAAAGTAGACCTTGAAGTAGCGCATACCATTAATAAAAAGTGACATTTAATGCGGCTATTAACTTATTTTTGAAATATTAATTAAGTGACCCAATATTTTAAAAACGTTAAGTCGAACGCTCCTTAATATAGAAATTCCAACGTTGAACCACCATTATATCTGTGAATTCTGTTAGTTACCTTTTAAATTGGTACATTTGTGTTTTCTGTATACATTTTCTATATTTTTTCAAAGTTTTAGTCAATATTTGTAATGGTTCCTTTTCAACTTTAACATTATTTAATATTTTGGATACCTTATTGTATCTATTTTTGTCCACAACTATATTTAATTCTGGTTAGTAAAACTTTAAAATGTTTATTTTTACTTTACCTTGTCGATTTTTCTTTTGTTTTTCTCTCTATGCTGGTATGTTCCTCGAAAGTATGGTCACTATATTACGTAATCCGTGGTATGACTTAAGAATCTAAGGGCATTGTGCCACCCTACCACCTTAAATTATGATTTCTAGATTCGTTTTCCGTCTGTTTTTCCTTATGGACAACGATATAACAAATTTATTTCGCTATATATTAGAATTTAATAAGGAAAAGTTTTTGACGTTTTTTTCGCATGGAGTTAGAAACATTTGATAAATTACGTATTTTGTGCAAAAATTGGGAGCCCAACTTTGTGTCAATATTTAAAATTTACCATTTTTGACTAAAATTTATAATTATTTTTAAATTATATATAAACATAATTATTATGGATTATAGAAGCTTAGTGATCTATTCTCTATATTCAAAAATAAAAAATTTAGAATATTATTTTAATTGGCTGTGATTCGAATTTTTAATGCTAATATATAAAAAAAAAATACTTGTGGCACTCGGGGACTGCCGCGGTAAAGCTATTGCATAGCATTTTTTATCAACTTATGCAATTATAATTATTTATGTTATTTATGCAGTATTTTTTTTTCTTTGATATTAATTCAAGTTTTTTCTTTGATATTAATTCAAGTTACACGTTTTGAGCGTGGTGACCGATAAGAAAACAATTTTTTTCTTTTAATAAATAAATGAGAAGTTAATATTGTTTAAAATATTTTTATTATTTTACAATACATGTAGGTTATTCAGGAATTTTTATCATTGAAACTATAGGTTTATGGTAACTGAAATAAGAAACATAAGTTTGAAGACTTGATATCCTCCAAATATCTGGAAAATACCTCAATGGTGGTCCCATATTTTGTTGTGAATTCTTGTGGATCATTATTCATTTTCAAATTCAGTTTTTCCGAAATTGTGTCTAAAAGAGATAGAATCAGTTAGCAGCTAGTCTACACGCATACGTCTAGTCGCACGCACACAAACACTGTGACGAAGTCTGCCGAACTGAAACGACGTTAGACGATGCACGACTTTCAACGCCGCAGCGCTGTACCGGTCGGAGTGGGGGGTGTTAGGTTTATTTTCGTTACGGAATTTATTTTTCGATTTTTTGATTTATTGATTTTTCGATTTTTCGATTTTTCGATTTTTCGATTTTTCGATTTTTCGATTTTTCGATTTTTCGATTTTTCGATTTTTCGATTTTTCGATTTTTCGATTTTTCGATTTTTCGATTTTTCGATTTTTCGATTTTTCGAATTTTCGATTTTTCGATTATTCGATTATTCGATTTTTCGATTTTTCGATTTTTCGATTTTTCGATTTTTCGATTTTTCGATTTTTCGATTTTTCGATTTTTCGATTTTCTTTTATTGAATAAATGAGAAGTTAATATTGTTTAACGCCGCACCGCTATGCCGGTCGGAGTGTGGGGTTTTTCGTTACGGTAGTTACGGAATTTTTTGATTCGGTCGCCGCGCTCAAAGCCCGCGATAAAAGCTATGCAATAGCTTACAAAATTGGCGCCATGATTGCAGTAAATTTATGATTGGCATCGTATCTGAAATAATCACATACTTTGATTACTATACGAGGCAAGAGAGGTCCGACACGCCCAACATAGGGCGCAGCCATTTTGAACCCTGTGACACAGTTTACAGCTAAAGAATCAGATCACTTACTCTGCGTCGGCACTTTTGAGCTCAATGTTTCAGTTTATACACTGTGCAACTCGGATAATACAATATATGATAACCGCCTATAATAAAACAGCAGTCTTCTGCGTATCCTGAATTTGTATCCCTGGAGTGGATGTTATTTTGGAACTTTCAACTGGTCCGAGTGAGCTAACTGATTCTTTAGCAATAAACTGTGACTTCAAAAATAATATTCACTGACACTTACAGCAGCAAGCAAAATATCAGGTGCGTTTTAATCATCCGCTTCTGCTTCCGGAATTGTCGGTTTATTCGTTCTAACCTGTCAGATTAAAACAAGAAAACCGACAATTTCGAAGCAGAAGCGGATGATTAAAACGCACCTATTAAAAATATTGCGCCAAGATGTAGGCAACGCGTAATAAGGGTTCAAAATAGCGGAGTTTTCTATCTCTTTTTAAAAGGCACTCAGAAAGCTGCGCAGTGCGACCATTCTCCGTATAGTAAAAGAAAATCAAAGTATGTGGAAATAATGCTCATGTTATTAAGATTAAGTCTTGTTTGATAATAATGATTGACATAATTTTAGTAATAAGCAAAAAAATATTTTATTTTGATGTCGACTCAGTTTGTCAGTATATTAACGGGACACCCCGTATATACGCAAAATACATGTATCTACAGAAGCCAATTGTCTTTTGGTAAGATATTTGATTATTAATTAATTAAAGCAATTTTGGGCAATTGGGCTTATCCATTATAATTACTTCTTCGTTTTCTTCTTCTTGTGGTACCACCCTATTTACCCATTGTCAATATACATATATATTTTTATTATTTTAGCCAACCAGTTAAATACACCCTTACCCAGTCCAGCTTGTGGCTTCAAGAAGCGACCGTTTGAAATTGTTGTAAAACCAGAATACATAAAGGTGTTTTGTTTATTGTTTTTTCTACACCCGTATTATAATAATGCACTTATATGCCCATAATCCGTTTCATAATGATACCCATCATAATGGGTATCATAATACAGATTTTTCATTATGATACAGATTTTTAATCAATAGAAACCTACAATTTTTCAATCAAGCATGATGTTTGACGTTTGTCCTAAATTCCTATGTAATTGTTTTAGTTGTCAAAACGTATTACATTTTCGTAGATAGCTAAACTTCGATAATTATAATATTAAAATGTCTGATATCAGCGATATAGAAGACTCCTCCACACATATCGGAGAAAGGAGAAAATGCAGTACAAAATATTTTGCCCCAAAAATCTGTGGTAATACCAATACCCAAGGTAATAATTAATTACAATTTTGTAGAATTTTTTATAGAAATACGAGTAATTACTGTTATTGTGTTCAATGCCAATATAAATAGAATATTTATAGGTCTTGATTATTTATCGGGTGTAGAAAAAATAGCGTATGCAACTCTCATGTAATGGTTATTAAAACACTCGCATAAACCATACGAAACTCGCCTTTGGCTCGTTTCGTATCCCTGTTAATGCTCGTGTATTAATAACCATCATTACATGATCGTTGCATAATATACTATATTATAACAATCCAGTTTCTTTTGAAAGCTCATCCTCAAATTACATTTGCAACAACAATCACGGATTATTTCGGATACTAAACCAGAACACTGGACTGAGAAATCCGAAGTAGTCCGAGAAAAACCAGAACACTTTTTATCTACTGCGCATGGGCCCGACAGTTGTGAATCATTATTTTTTAAAATCAAAACGGACCTATTAATACCCAAATGTTAAACTGTCGCATCAATACACTGCACCTTTTTGTCAAAAGACCATGGTATTTAGTATTTAAATTTGTAGTATATATGTTTAATTAAGGCAATTACCCAAAAATAATTTCAAATCTTAATAATAACTACGCCCCATTATGTTATATCTTTAATATTAAAATTACTTGTACATGTGTAAAATTACATGGAATTGCCCCTTCTCTCTCCTACTACAACCATCGTTCACAACGTTATCCGTGTTGTCGTATTGTCGCCTGTTTTCGAGATCATAAATATAAATGTTACGAGTCAGTTCATACAATAGTAAATAAAGCAATAGCGGTTATTGACATTAACCTTGATAGCTAATCAGTAATCACCCTTCAAAACAGGTAGATGAATGTTTGTTATTCCAGAACAAAATATTATGCGGTTACCTCCGTATAAACGAAAACAAAATTGTAAAATAATAATAATTGTGGTGGTTAGTTTTAGTATTTAATAACTTGCTTGATAGACTGTACGAATTATTATTTTGCATTTTTAACGTTTAGGTAGTTAAGTGCCTTGTTTGCTACGGTAAGCTTTTTAAATATTTACAATTACATTTAAAATCATGATTTAAGTTAATATTGCTCAAAAAATTATTTTCGACAAGTAAAAATACAACTTCGATTATGCTATATATTACATGCTATATGTATATACCACTTGAAATGAAAAATGAAGAAGAATTATAAAACAATTATATTTCTTCTTCATTTTTTATTTATTTCCCTGATTACTATTGCCCTTTCGTAATTAGTCTTTTCTAAATTTCTCTAAGAATCTTTTCTACATGTGTACTGTCAAATTTCTAATTTTAAAAATTTCTTAGATCTGCCATTTCGTTGTCACAGTGTTACCAACTCTTCCTAAAATTAAAAATTTTTTCCCCTGATTAGTAATTTGTTCATGGGTTTACATAAATAAATAATATTTTTAAACTAAAAACTTTTTTGTCAAATTTTTCGTCTCATGTCCCCACCTTTTTCAATTTTCATTTTTTAATCATATTTTCAATTTTTAAAAAACTTTTTGTATTTCGACCTAGAGGAGATTTTTCTTTACTTATTATAAACATAATTTTTTGAAATTAATTAACTATAAATTAAAAATTTTTTTTTTCAAATTTGAATTCTTCAAACCAATTCAATATTCATTGCCGTTCAAATACAAATTTCGTTTTGAGATATAAAGTACCTGTTTTCTTTTTTTTTCCACCTTTAAATTATAAATATCATTGAGGATTTTAAAAACACTGTTGGGCAATACTAAATATACCTTTGGTTTATTTTCAATTATTTTGATAGTTTTTAAAGATCCTGCTCATTATTATTAAGTCCCTCTGGATAATATATTAAAGATGTTTCTTCTGATTCAGGAAAACTTCACTATCTTCAAAACTTTCAGGAGGTTCTGGATCTTCTTGCAAAACTTATAGTAAGCTCATTTTTAATTTCCCGAAGGGGCAGTGTCAGAAATTTCTGCTGCATCTTAAAGATACGGTAGTATTTTTATTAAATAGAGACGAAAAACACCTTTAGTAGAAGGTTATTTTCTCTATTGCCAGTCAACTTTTTAGAACACATTTTTTTATGTTTTCTATTTTTCTTTTTTTTGGCAGTGAGCTGGCTCTTGTGTGGTGAATAACCAGAAATTTTTGGAGACATTTGTGTGGTACTACCCACTTCTTTATATGTAAAAATGCAACAGTTTACAAAATCATCTAGTATCTAAAAATAAAACATTCTTACTATAATGCTAGATAATTGAAGTCTAATAAATTACAATAAAACAGTTTCATTTTAAAAAAGAGTATAAAAACAAACCTCAAAATAATTTAGCTGTTGCTTAAAGTGTTTCCGTGTGTCCTACTGTGGCCCAGCATAATTTTCTTCTTTTCAGATTTCTAGCAACACTAATAAATAATTATAATAATTAATGTGACTCATTATCACATCTTGGGAGAAAACATTTTTTCGTACTCAATAATATTTATAAAAATGTACAAAATTAAACACATAAATATTTTCGACTTCCAAATAAATTATTGATTAACACAACACACAAATTCTTGATTGACAGTATTGACAGATGACTCATACTGTGCTGTCGCATTACCATTTTCTTCTTTATTAGGTGACGTTTTTCAAAACAATGAAACTATAAACATGGTGAAAGTTTAAACATAAATAATATTTTTAAAAACATTTGATATTAAATTTTTAAAAGATATTTGTTTAACGATATTATTTTTTGAAGTCTAAAAGTAAGAACGTGGACACAAACGACCGTATATTACTTCTCGTGTATCGTCTAACTGGCAACGTTGTGTCGCTAGTTCCTATTGGTCTATTCCCGGCTACAACATAAATTTTAAATAAAGAACTGTGGCAAATGAATAGATAAAAAAAATTAAAAGTAGCTTTATTTAGAACTGTATTATTCATAAAAAAAATTTTGAACATACTGGTGTAAACAACATAGGGGCGTTCGCTGCAGTTTAAAAGTAGTTTGTAAGAGATATTTCTTTTTTTTAGTTGTTTTTCCTGTGATATTAATGCGCGTAGTTTTGAGTTTTGATTTGAGCAGAACTTAATGAATCCATTTTTTTTTTGTTATATCATATGTTATAATCAGATCAAATTTTATAATTTTTAAAAATTATAGTTACAAGGGCTGTATTATTAATGACGACATCTCTAATGGTATTTCCTAACAAAATAAACGAAAAGAAAAACAGTACTTTATGTGCAATTAGAAACTCGTGTTTTACAAAAATCGTTTATTGATTTGTTTTAAATTTGATACTATTATTATACTCTTATTTTGCATTTTTTTAATTACTAAAAAAGCAGTCTGATAAATACAGATTTTTAATTATTGTAAAAATATTATATGGGGGACGGGTATACTAACATTACTTTAGTCACTAGAAAAAATATAATTTAACATTATTAATGGTTTATGAAAAATATATATTCTTATACATTTTTTATTTTAGGGATCACGGGAATTCATATTCAAGAAAACCATTTCATTGTTATTTTCCAAACCTGTTGATTATTCCTGAAAATGGAGACAAACACACAGCGACCGCCTGATAAAGCTCAAGTGGAATTTGAGGAAGACGGATTTGGTGTATTTACAGATAAAACCACGGGCGTAACTTCCCCTGTCAGACGATTTACATGGAAGAATTCTAATAACGTTAGTGTTCAAGTCATTACGTACGGGGCAACGATAACATCTATAAAATTGCCAGGAAAAAATGGAAATATTGATGATATTGTTATGGGATTTGATAACATGGAAGGTAAAAAGGGTGGCTGTGATGATGTATTTTATTACGATTAAAGTGAAAAGAAAAAATAAGAAGTATGAATAAAAATATTTATTTTTCTGCGATCACTATTCAAAGTAGTACGTTTTCCACGAACTGACATTAAGTGACAGCTTTGACAAAATTATAAAAACAATTGTCTCATTTTAATTAACGTGTATAAAAGTAGCGAAATTTGCTATAAGTCTATTTTTATGTATGAGAGAGTAATAAAACAGCATTTCTAAACATTTTAAATATTTTTACAGAATAATCTAAATATTTCCTAAAATTGTAATAAATGTACCTGTTACAAGTTTTGGGTCTTTTATTGGTCCTTTATAAACATAAGCTGTACAGAACAATAGAAAAAGGTTTGGACAGACCAAAATCCCTGTGTATTAAAGATTACATAGCCGTATCTTAAGATTATTTTCAATAAGTACATATTTGCTAATTTTGTTTTATTTTAATTCCAAGAATTTCTTACAGTAATCGAATTATAAGTAGATAAATACCTTCCCAACAAATTTCACCGAAAATGAGATTATAGATTTTCCATTTAGTAAGAGGGTCCAAGTTGTGTATTCTTGACAGTTTACTAAATGTCGTTTAGTTGCAACTTGCAAGGTGCAGTGTGAATTCTAGTGCGATCATGGAAAATTTGGAAGGGCCGCGTAAACGACAAAAAATCGGTCCTTTAACAGTTAATGAAAAAACATTAATATTTAATTATTTTAAATCATTTACAGACAAACATTTATGTAAAAGTGTTGATGACACAGTGGAATTAGTTAGTAGTACGCTTGGTGTTGGGAAATCTACGATTTACAGAGTTGTTAAAGAAGAGAAATCTGGCGAGTTTCAAACAGCACGTAAAGCTCCAGGAAAACCAAAATTTCAATTAGAAAATCTTTTGAAAGAAAGACTTCGAAGGAAAGTGCATGCGGTCTTCTTTAGAAAATAATTTCCGACAGTAGACAAAGTTCTTGCCACGGTTCGAGATGATAAGGATTACCCTGAAATGAGTCGAAGCACACTATGGATACTTTTAAAAGAAATAGGTTTTCTATGGAAAAAGCATTCCAGAAAGTCTATTTTAATAGAAAGAAGCGATATTGTAGTATGGAGAAGAAATTACCTAAGGATTATAAAAAAAATGAGAAACCAAAGAAGAAATATATTTTATTTAGATGAAACATGGATCAACGAGGGACATAAACCAAATAAATTTTGGCAAGATGAAACTGTTACCAGTCGAAGATAGGCTTTTTTAAATAATTTATCTACTGATTTAAATCCACCATCAGGAAAGGGGCGCAGACCAATAATAGTACACATCGGTAGTTCAAACGGTTTTGTTAAAGGTGGTTTATTGACTTTTGAATCTACTCGTACCGGTGACCACCATGAGGACATGAACGCTGATGTCTTTAAAGAGTGGTTCGAACAAATTATAGATCTTCTTCCTCAGAACTGTATAATAGTAATGGATAATGCAAGTTATCACTCGAGACTTATAGAAAAAATGCCCACAACCAAGTGGTTAAAAAAAGATTTACAGAATTGGCTAAATTCAAAGAATATTAAGTTCCATCCCGGTTCTGTGAGAAAAGAACTGTATCATTTGTGTTCCCTTCATAAAGAGAAATTCAAAAAATATGAAATTGATGAAATTGCAAAAAATCGTGGGATGACGGTGGTAAGATCATTGCGAAGTAAACCCGATTGAACTGATATGGGCACAGATAAAGGGAGAAGTTTCAAGAAAAATAATTCTTTTAAAATGAGTGATGTTAAACAGTTGTTTTTGGAGGATGTAAATAATGTGAAGCCTGAAAACTGGGAAAAGGCAGTAAATCACACGATTAAAGAAGAAGAGAAAATGTGGAAGTTGGACAATATTACTGATGAAATGATCGAGCCACTCATTGTAAATATTAGTTGCGACAGTTATCTTCTGATTTAGATTCTGATTTGGATTTGTAGGTAAGAAGTAGTTTTTATATTAAAATTATTTATGAACGTAACGTTGTTTAAAAGTCAAAGTTTAAACCCTTATACCTACATAACCCGTTTGACACAATGTTCTTAACATACCTTGTGGAAAAATAAAACATTTTAGAAAAAATTGTACTTTTTTACCTTCAGCTGTTTAGAAGTTATAAGCAGGTTAATTAGGTGAAAATATAAGTGTATACTCGAGGAATAACTTCAAAAAATATTTTAACTGTCTACTAAAAGAAGTGGTACGCCTATGGATTACAAACGCTTTATTATTTTAATACTCTCTCATACATAAAAATAGACTATACCATTTCGATTTTTAATAGGTTTTATATTAAACTTTTATTAAATAAATCTTGTTATCAGTATAAGTTAGAAATATACCGGATGCTTTATTACTCCAAAATAACACGAGGATATATTTTTTTTTGCTTATTGCTACTTTTATTAGAATATTCTTGTAATATTTTGGAGTAATGATATACCCGGTATATTTATAATTGACATATATTGATCACTTAATCACCCCATTTAAAAGGCATGGTTCATTTTAATACTGGAACGGCCAATTACAACAACGTTCATTAAAATTTATGGGCTCGATTAAGTTGACAAAGTTTGATTTTGCCATCAGAGTATATGACAACAAACCTCTAGATAATATGGACAAAAACTAAGTATGTGCATATGAATCTGTTACTGATCTTTTTAACTTAAATATAGTCTAAGAACCCAGTGATTCGGTGGCGCCTGACACTACCCGGTTACATCTGGTGTTTGCGTATTTGCAGACCACCCAGTGAATTATTCACTGCCCTTCCCTACATTTGTACTAACGCCAATGGCAATCTTTCTACGAAAAATATCCTTATTTGTAGGTAATATTTAAAAAATAACCAACTTTTTTTTATCTAAATTCTTTTAGATAAATAATGGAATTTCTTTCAAATTTCTTTTCAATATTATCAGTTTTATGATTCAAAAATAATTTTTTTTTCTTTTATTTTATAGGTTATTTGAACGCTCTTAATCCATATTTTGGCGCCACAGTAGGTCGCGTAGCTAACCGAATAGGTCATGCCAAAATAACCATCGAAGGCGTTACATACAATGTTTCAGCTAATATATCACCACATCAACTGCACGGAGGATTCCGAGGTATTTATAACTTTAAACTGAATAGATATTTTAAATTAAAATACATAAACTGATTTGCCGATGTTTTAAAATGGACTAGTTTATTTCTGAACTCTGAGAAATTAATAATTTTCATGTAATTATTTTTTTACGCTGTATATTTGAGATATTTTCTTGGAAAGTTTTATCGGGAGATGAAATAATTATATTGTGCTTGGAAATAAATTAATTTTATTAAAAATTTTCAGGATTTGATAAAGTAAACTGGAACCACTATATCCAGGGTACCAAAGTTGTTCTCAGCTACATTTCTGTTGATAAAGAAGAAGGTTTTCCGGGAGATGTTATAGTGAATGCTAGCTTCGAATTGACAAATGATAATGAGTTTTTAGTAAATTATAAAGCAACCACTACCAAGCCAACCTACGTTAATTTGACCAATCATTCTTACTTTAACTTGGCTGGGCAAAGCAAAGGATCAGAAGAGTTGTACAAGCATGAAATTTCAATCAATTCTGACAGTACTACCGATGTTGATAATAATTCTATACCTACAGGTAAGTAACATCATATATTTTGTTATTGTTTTTTAATATAAACTCCTGGACAAAAAATTAATAATTCTAAATATTTACAAAATAAACACAACATAAAACTAAGTTACATTGAAATAATGATGAACACTTAAAAATTAGTCGAATATGACCTTTACATGACCTTAATTTGCCTTATTTTTTGGAAATGCATAAATAAGCTAGCATAACTCCAAATTGAAAAAAGAAAAAAAATCAGCCCTAATACTGCGTAGGCCCTCCTCTACTTCTTATCACTCCATTCATGCATGCTTGATATCAAATGTTCAACAAAAGCTTGCGGTATATTCTCCCATTCTTCAATAACGACCTCTATGAGATGGTTGTGATTCGAAACAGGGAGTCTATGACTTCGAATCCTCTTTTTGAAACAGTACCATAGATGTTCTATAGGATTCATATCCGGACTGTTAGGTGGCCACTCTAATAAAGGAATATTAACATCATATAAGTAACCAATAACCTGTCTAGCCACGTGGGGACGAGCGTTCTCCTGCATGAATAAAAAATTGGGCCCAACAAACGGAGCAAAAGGCATTACATGTTCGACAATAATGTTGTCTAAGTAATATTGGGCAATCATAGACCTCGTACGCATAGGGACCAACTTCGTACGAGCATCGAAGCAAATTCCTCCCCAAAACATTTTAGAGACACCACCAAAAGGCACTTTAGGAGAGATATTACAGCTGGCAAACCTTTCTCCTTGTCTTCGCCAGACACGCTCACGTCCATTTTGAGCTTTAAGGCTAACTCTAGTTTCATCGGAGAACAGAATCAGTTTCCAATCATTGATGGTCCAATTCTGATCTAGTCTTGCAAAATTTAAGCTCTGAACTTTGTGTTCTCTGGTAAGCAAGGGTTTTTTGGCTGGTCTTCTGTTGCTTAATCCTGCTTCATGTAAACGTCTTCTAACCGTTTGAGACAATATAGTGATATTTCGAACATCTGCTAATTCATTTTTAAGCAGATTGCTGGTTACGCTTCTGTCTCTAAGAGCACGTTGTCTCAAAAAACGATCAACAATTTGATTAGTGCAACGTTTTCGCCCTTGTCCTGGTCTTCGATAGTACGAACCCGTTTCATTATGTCACCTCACTATGCGACTGATGCTGGAATGATGTCTTCCTAACAAACCAGCAATATATCGCATTGAATATCCTTCATTCAGGAGAGTCGATGCTCGCACTGCCTCCTCCAGTGCCAGATTTCTTTGACGGTTCATTTTTTTTACTTTCTCCCAAATGAACTTCCAAACATGCATGTAGTAAAAACAATTACAATCAACAGCTTGCTTCTAACAGAAACTTTGCTTTAATCAGCACTTTTTAAGAAAATGTTAACACAGTTTTAGTCTAAAATGAGGTTTAATACGAATTACTGTCAAAACAAGGTATTACGTGACACTAGATAGCTTAAAAAATAACTGTCACTGTCAAACAAGGTCCATGGCCTACTTGTCGTAAAGTAAGTTATCAATAAATAAAGATTATCGAGCAAAATATAAGTGGTGCGTGAAGTGGTGCGTTAATTTTGTCCAGGAGTTTATATGTACCAGATACCCAAATAAGAAAGGACGCCCGCCATATCAAGCCGTTTGTCGTACATATCTGAGAATTGTTTTATTAAAATAAAAACGTAGTCACTAGAGTTCGTTTGAAATTATTTTGAAGTTGTTAGGTTTGTCACTCGTTTATCTTTTTTCATTGGTCATGAGCATTGCGCAATCTAGTGGCGAGGTTAGAAACTTAAAAATAATATCCAGCGATTTCTCTTGATCACTCCACTTTCCAAAATTCTACGACGTATAGTTTCTGAGGTACAGGTAGTACCTTACAGCCACCAACAGCCAGTCTTTTCTTATTTGAGATAGTCTTCGGAAAGTAATTCTTAAATTTATGTCATGTGACAGGAACTGCTTCTTAAGTGTTCTTCATATATTCATACAAGTTATTTCTAATTCGGCAGCTATCACCCTCATGCTTGTGTTCATTCGTACCATCTTTTGGATGATCACTATTACCACGCGTTTGTTTCTGTAAAGTACCAGTTTCTCTTTAATTGCGATTAATTCCCTTGAAAATGAGCCTATTAAGTACATTCCCGTTAGGATACCTCTCTGCATAACGACTAGCAATCTCTACACCATTTAATTCACATTCACCTATTTAGAAGATAAAAAAATTACATACGTATTTTAGTAATAAAATGCATACGATACGGCTGTGAATAAAGTCTGACTTATCTGTCAAAAGAAAAGGTTTGTTACAGCAAAAACCATGAAAACATGATTAAATCTAAATAAAAACTTTTATAAGGCCGATCAGATGTATTAAAATTTTCATTTTAACTACAAATAAGCATTGAAGAATGAGGTATAAATAAAATGTCTACCTCTTAAACCTGTACTACTTTCTGCAAATTAAATTACTGCACTTCTTTCTTCTCTAGACTATAACAGTAATCAATCAACGTCTACTTAGATATTTTTTGGGAGCTAATATCTAAAATGTATTTGTGATTGTTTAGGTAAAATTCTTCCAGTAGCTGATACGATATTCGATCTAAGAATTCCCAAAGTACTCGGTGACGTCATACACAAAATTGCAGGCTATGATGGTTTCGATCATAATTTTTGTATAAATAAAGCCTCAAAACAAGAAAATACTTTTGCCGCAAAAGTAGTCCACCCTCCAAGTGGTAGAGCATTGGAAATTTATACAAATCAACCTGGTAAGTGCATAAAAATTAGTCTTAAACATGTATGGATATTGCCTACTTATCCATTCTGTAGTTTAAGATAATAATAATAATTTGCCTACATGTGAATGTAGATGTTATTTAACTTGAATGACTTAATTTCGTAACATCTTATTCAAAACAAAGTACTTTATTGGGTCAATAAATAATATTTAGGGAATCGTATAGGATCTCCGTTATTTTTAAAAACTGTTTTAGGTGTTCAGTTCTATTGTTCCAACAGTTTGCCAAAACGTAGTGACAAGGAAACTGTTATTGGAAAAAATGGTACACAATACTATCACCATGGCGCTTTATGCTTTGAGACACAAAACTGGCCAGATGCTATTAACCATGTGAGTATATATGCAGAATCGGAAATATTTTTTTCCGAATGAACCAACATTTGAAAGAGATGCTTCTAATGTATGACCGTGTGTGTAACTTAATATAACGCAAAATAGTAGCTACTTTACACCTACAGTGTACAAGTAAACTAAATTATATATTTCAAGAATTAATTATATCTACCAGAACGAAATAGTAATTTTTATTCGAATGTGTCATTAAACGTTGTTTTTCGGACAAAAAACGTAATTGAAAAGGATAACTTTAAAGTATACTTTAAATGAACTACAGAAAAATATTTTTAAGGCCTAGGCCGCAAAGTAAAGCGACTCTGCTATCTAAACATTTAGTTTACCTTTTGCTGGCGATAATGTTTTTTGCTATTGTAAAATAGTAGTCCATAATCCATATGTATATCAAATTTGAATAGAAACACTTTTAATTCAATAAGAAAAACTAAATAAACTATATATTATTAAATCGATTTGGCACATAAGCAAATTGACATGAGAGCAACTGTTTAGTTGTTACCAAGAATACATACCTAAACTACTTGTTCCTAATGTAGGTGTATATTAAAAAAATCATTAAAAGATAATTGAGAAAAATCTTACAGATAACTATTTGGTTTTTTATTTTGTTCCTATAATGAAATATAGTAATTAATGGATATAAACCGAATACCCTTAAATCCCAAATAGTTTATAATCCGAACATTCAAATTGCGTAAAATGATATTTATAATCTGAACCCTTGAACTCTGAATTCCGTAATCCGAACTACCCTCTACCTATTATTTCTATGCCTCTACCTGCACGCGCTACTTTAGTTTGTTTTTATTTTGAAAAGCATATTATGTACTTATGTATATAAAGATTTTTATAGCCATTGAGTATATATACATTTTTTGGTGGGAATGTATTTATATGGTTAAGAAAGGTATCGAATTATATACAGTGGCCAATGAACGTTTTCTAATACGTTTTGCACAATTGCATGTGAAAACTACAGAAAGTAAGCATTAGAGCAAGCAGGAAACCAATACAGCATTTCCAGCAGTGGCGGCTCGTTGTAATTGAAAATGGGTGTTCACTTTTTCTAATAATTTTATCATATGTAAGTTCGGATCAAAACTTTGTACAAGAGTCAATATCGCTGTTTTTTTTTTATTAATTGAGTTTGTATTAAGTGTAGTTAATATTATCAACATCATACTGTTTTCAAGCACTACAACTATTAATAAATGAATATTTTAGTTGGTCTGATATTTGTTTTTTTTTTTAATACGTTGAAAACCATCTATAAACATTATTAGTTTGTAAACTGACTTTTCTTCATAATTTGAGATTATTTTTAAATATATATCAGGTTATTTAGAAAGCTTGACATTGATTTTTGTGTAAAACAATTTATATGAAAGTTTATCTACCATTTTTTAGTTTTTATTGTAAGTTTAATCATTTTCACAATTTGTCACAGATGTCAAATAAAAAATATATTTTTTAAATACCTTTTATTGGCAAATAAAATAAGAACTAAAATGTTTTAAATGTTTATTTTATAAGATCAGTCCCATCACAATACATAATATTACACAGACACAAACTAGAATGAAGATATATAATGCCTGGCATTTTAAATGATACTCTTCGCAGTTTAACAGACCCCCTTAACCCCCATTTTTAAGCAGATTATTCTCACAATCTCCTTATAGACCTTGATTTTTTACTAAAACTTTCATGTTGTTATCGCTTTTCGTTTTTAATTTAGGATTTTTTTACAATTATGAATTGTACTAGACTGGCAACACTGGTTTGGAAACCTTGTTTGTGAGCGGCGCGCCAATTAATGTGTTCTTTGACAGTTTAAAGGATCTGTTGGCGTGTTGTCTTCTCTTTTTAGCTATATGCATTCGGCATATCGTCTCACTCGTGTTAGGCTCACTTATCATAATGCGCCACAGACACAGTATACTTAAATATACTGTGACACAGAGACGCGATCAGCCAGAGGACAGTGATGTACAAAAAATATAGATTAACACGTATGAAAATAAAAATATTAAAATTAAATTTATATTTTTGTTATTTATGTAATATTAAAATAATGTGTTTTTATGAAATTTAAGTGGGTGTTCACGGCACAAATAAACCAATGGAGAAACCGCCCCTGATTGCCAGTTTATATAATATTACAATGATTTGTCAAAAATAAACGTACTTTACTCTTGAGCAAAATTCATATTTTTTGACGAACCTCGTATACGGCTTAAAAAATTTGATATATGATGACTGTATTTTAAGTTTTGGGTCATGCAGGACTTTATCAAGAATAACTTTTTTCCTAAAATCAATATTACATTTTTTTTCCATATGGTTCCAACTTAAGTAGTATATTTCTGTAATATTTTTTTTATTTATATTACTTTGCCTAAAAACAGTTATTGAGTCAGAATACCTAATTATTATGACTAAATATAAGTAAATTGATTTTTTTTTAGAAGAATTTTCCACCAGCGGTGCTCTATCCAGGTCAACAATATCACCATTCTGTGGTTTATAAATTTTTTGTAAATTAAACAGAACACAAAATCTTACTTTATGTTAAATATTCTTACAGTGTAGATATTTTAAAATAAAAAAATATATATTTGTAAAAATGTGCTTTATTTTATATAATATAATGAAATAGAATATTTATTCGACCAAAAATTTGTAAATAGTAGTAGTATTGTAGGTTTCTCCTGGGTATAGCAGGGGACTTGGAAATTTAGCCTAAAAAAATAAAAATATTACAGGTTGTTTTATTATTGTGCGTTAAAAGTAAGTTATGTGGTTATTAAATACCATAAAGTTTAGTTTTTAAGGAGCCAACAAAATGACGATAACAAATTCATAATATATATTTTATATTGTTTAGGAATTATATGGGGAAAACCGAGAGAAAAACAAAAAATTATGTATTGATGCACCATTATTTTTAAAAATAATTTACAATGGCATAAAAAAGTTTTGATTCATAATCTTAGATTATAACAATCATAGACAAAACAAGAATGCAGGTCACAGTAGAGTACGCCGTAGTGCGTCACATGTCATAACAAACAAGAACATTAGTTAGTTAGTTAGTAACAATTAAAGTTGAAAATGCCAAGGTGTGTTGTTAAAAACTATATTATTTCGAAAAGTTATATAATTTGTAAGGTTTATATTGACGGCCATATTTGTTTATTTGAAAGTAAACTGGACTTGGTCAATGTGAAAACAAATGTTTTTTTCTAATTTTGACAAACAAAGTGACATTTGTAAGTGTCAAAATACCAGTTGCAAAAAGAAAACAAAAAAATGAAACTTTTTTGGTTTTACAATCAATAACATATATTATTATTGAAGGTTTGTATCGAAGAAGGGCTGATTGACGTATAAAAATAGAATAGAAATATTGTTTTGATCCTTATTTTCCATTCTAAATCGGCAAAAAATAATTAAAACAATACACGACAAATAACCCACTTCTTAAAAACTAAATTACTTTAATAAGCTTGTAAACACACTACAAGTTGTTGAAAATACATTATATTGTTTTCTATTTGTCAATAACATGATGCATATGCAACTAACAATACAAAAAAGAAGTAATATTGGTTGCCTAGATGTCAGTAATGTTTTACCAAAACACAATTTTATAAATAATCTAGTCAACATTAGAAAAAATATTGTATGTAACTCGTTAATGTTGCGGGACCTCGCTCTGCTCGTTACATAAAACAAGGCATTTCGTAACTGGTATTATAAATAGCTATTATTATTATTGTAAACTGTTTAGGTAATATTTCCTGTTAGTGCAAAGAGTAACATAAAAACAAATACAAAAATACTTCACAACTGGTTTTAACAGTTTTAAAAATTGTTTATTAGGCATTTCTATATAAAATGGGACTGGCCTATTTATTTTTGTTTAGAGTTATAACGGTTGGAACCGTTATTCGTTATTTCAACACAATCACCTCTACTCAAATGTCATTTGTCGTTTATGCCTTGTGTCAAAAGTTCGTATTTCATTTAATTTGAATTTGTCAACGAATCAACTTGATTTGAATTTTAATATATCTAGGTCATCCGATGTACCAAATAATTTTTATCTATCGTAAATTCCGTCTGATTTTATAAGGTAAGTTTTAATACTGATATATTGTTGAAAATATATATTTTGTACAAGAATTTCTTAAATAAAATGTCAAATTTTGAACATAACCTCAACAATGGATAACACGTTTTATATAAAATTATATTATTTTGTTTGGAATAAGATATTATGCTTTACTATGTTTAAATATGTTAAATAAGATTTTTCCTTTTCATATTAATTTTAGTCTCTGTGAAATTATTCATTTAATAATTAAAGTATTTTATCTAAATCCTGTTCAAATTTCCTATTTCCTGTCATAACATTTCCATTTCTTTTTAGCATGGCTATATCTAGACGGTTTATTTGGAGTTATATCTAGACAGTTTATTTGGATTTATATCTAGACAGTTTATTTGTATTTATATCTAGACGTTTTGAATTCCTATCAAGAAGTTTTATGGTTTTTATACCTAAAAGTTTGGTACAATCTGAAGACCGTGGTTTGTTTCATCTATAGAAGAACTACACGTTCGAGTTTAAGTTAGAATACCAAATTTCACGATATCATTCAAGTTCCAGAATTAAGAATAAGGATACCGAATCCCTTTGAAGTTGCCTGAAGATATACCATGCGTTAAACATACCTATTACCTTCTTTAACTAAAGATAAGTACTTTTAAATAAATCATCTTAAATTTGAATTTAGTAAAACTATGTGAATTAGAATTTGCTATCTAAAACTTGGTTTAAATATAATTTGTTAGTGGTTAGTGATTTTCTATATTTTTATCACTAATCTAAAGTTAAGTATAGTAAGTTTTAAATATAGTGGTGCCCAACTTCTTTTTCAAAGTTATTTAATAACCTAACCCACGCCCAAAATCAATTGAGCTAAAACACATTATAACAAATAGATAAAATATCAAGTATCACGTTACAGAGTTTATTATTATTATTTATAAGTAAATTTTCTTTAAATACAAATAGTAATAATAAACAGCTCTGTTAATTTAATTAATACTCAGTCATAAGTTCTCTTTATATTTTCTAAAATTACACTAGCCTATTTAGTTTATAAAGTTATAAAAATAAAGGTGCAACAACAAAAGATAAATCTATTTGGTCATATAAATAAATCTCATATACCTACTAAATAATTAAGTTAAATTACCCATAACTGGTGACACGGAGTCCAATAGAGTCCAAACTGTAGATTTTTTGTGTACCTATAAACCTCACACTCAGTAACTTCGAGTCATACCAGAGACAACTTAACGAGACGTGCAACTTTATATAAAAAATCATTTCTGTAGATCGCTCATGCAGCGTATATGGTTTTCCTCCTTTTCTCATAGTATTTGTAGATATGACCATAGCCTATTTTCTGTTCTGCTTCTGTCAGCTGTCATGTATAAATCTGTCAGCTGTCATGAATAAATCTGTCACAACAATTTATAATTCATAGCCATTGCGCTTCTCGTTTGTTGGATGTTTTGGAACGTTATTACCTAATATATTTTTTCTACGCTTATGTCAGTAAACGTTAAAAATCGCATTGTCAAATGACATTTAACAATAACATGCACGTAATGAGGTCTCATAACATACACGTGCGTTTTGATAAGAAAACTTAAATTTCTTGGTTTAATCAAACTGCAATCAAATTTTTATCTACTTACGACAATATTTGGTCCATTTACATAAATTTAGTCAATTGAAAAACATAAAAAATGTTTAGCATTAGCGAGATACATTCTGGATTAAAAAAATGATGCCCCTAAATGTTGGCAACATATACAATTTTTCAAAAAATAGGTCACGTTTTCTTAGCATGCTATGGACGTAAACGTCTTTTATATTGTCAATTTCTGTAACAAAATATTATTGTATTCGAACATTTTCTTTACCTATGAATATGTCTGTTAGTAGTGAAAGTGATGAATTTATGAGCACTCCAACAGAGATTTTAGAAAAAACTCAAACTGCCACACATAATTTGTTACTTCTAAAATCCAAACGAAGGTACGAAATTACCTATCGAAAATTTATGGATTGGGGACACAAGCATATGTCCTTTATTTAATAGAAGAAAATAAGTGGGCGTAGAAAAAGTATAGTACGTTACACGAGTTTTAAGCCCATTATGCACTGGTGAAACTTTTTCACTTCGTGCGTTATGGGTTACTTACAACTCTTGTTACGTAATATACAATGTGTTTATTTTATATTGTAGTTTTCTGTATACGTATTTTACTTTTTTGAATTTGTTTCATTGTACATAACTAAACTAGTTTAGACTTTTTTTGTTATAAATTATGAAGAGCAATGGCGGAACTTTGTTTAGATTGCGGATGCGGTGAGCTAATTAGATTTTGGGCAGAGTCGGAACTTCTGGGGGGTACTTTATTCATTGTCGCTTTTATATTTTATGGAATATATCTGTTATTTACGTTTGCAAAAGAAAATTCTTTGAATAAAAGTTACTTGTAATATTCTGTATTATTTTTTATTTCATACATGATTTTCTTAAAAATGATATTCGTATTCAAGAAATTTGACAAATTGTAAAAATTTCAAATTTTTAAGAAAATTGTTCAAATAAAAGTTGTTCTCTCTAATTCTGGTTCTATATATACGTAGTGGCCCAAAAGTCTGGAAACGGTCAATTATCTCGTAAAGTAATAGTCCTAATTATACAAAATTTGAGGTACATCTATTTTAGGATACGGAAATTCCAGATTTGATATTTGCAATGATGCCAGATTTACCATTTCTTTTATATTATTAGTCACTTTGGTTTTTCAAATTCATACGTGGGCAGTGCTTGGAAAACTTTTATTATTAATTTTAAGAAAAAGTTTGTTCTCAAATGTAAAATACCTTCATATTTTGTGACAAACCTCTTAATAACTTTTTCTTAAAACTAATAAGAAATTTTCCACATACATACTTGAGTAGACAACATTGATTTATATTGTTTTTATTTAACATTCCCGCTTGTACATGACATGTCTCAATATTTTTCTAAATAATGTACAGGAAGAGACCATATTTAGAAGAACTATGAGCCACTCCGGTTCTTGCTTTCTATTACAATCGCACAGTCAAATTTTGCCGAACTAAATATTTACATTGTCTCATGTTGTCTCTGGTTACAATGGATCAGTGTGTTTGGAGCCTTTGAGTGTATTGCAGTTTAAAACAAGGCTGATAAACTCCACAAATAATGAGGAGTTTAAATATATAAAGATGCAATTGATAAAAGTGAAGAATTACTGGAAATTAGGAAATATTGGTACCTGTGCCAATCAAGAGTGTGCAGAAAGTTAAAATATGGTAAGAAAATGTGTTCACCATGTAATTCACAAAATGAGTACTTTAAATCTCTGCAACTTTTTATTTGGTGTTATGAACTAGTATATATTTTTTTACAGGTATCATTAATTATTACTGTATTACTGTTATTATTATTATTATTTTAGTCTCTTTCCCAAAAGACAAGTAGTAAAGCAGTTATTGATATTGAGTATTATTTTAATGTTACTCTGTATGTTTTCAAAAAAAAATGTTATGTATTTAAAATGCTTCTTATGAATGTATTTTTAATGCATTATAAGGTGGAATTTATCATTACTCAAAATTTTTACTATTTGTGCGAAAATCCCGAAAAATTAACACGGCACCAGTTATGGGTTATATCAGATGGCATTTGTGAACAATTCTAAATTTAAATCGAAAAGGTATTGTACATAATATCTATATTTACTTTTAAAACTTACTTGATTTACAGAATCTGGGAAATTTTGCGTTTCCAAGCAAAAAGCTCCATGTTTTTTAATAACTCCATTTTTACCATTCAAATGACAATCTTCTGGCAGAAAATTACCTGTATAAAACTGAATACCACGTTGGTCAGTATACACCTCTAAAACCCTACCACTTCCAGGATCTTTTACCCTAGCAGCGACCTTCTGAAGTCCTCCACAAGGCGTTAGGCAAAAATTATGATCAAAACCTCCTCCAGGTACACTGCTAATCACGTTTCCCAAACATTGTGTTTTCGTAAAATTAAAAGGTGTGTCTGTTACCTGGAGAAATTTCCCTAAAAATTAATCAAAAATATTATTGACATCAATTCAATAATTTTTTTGTTCGCTATTTAAGTAGAGTAAACTGTACATTTGTGCATCGTTCATGAGATAATCCACTACCTCTAAAAAAGCTCAAATGTTTATGACAATATATATGGTGAGTTCTGTGGAAAATTCAGACAGATACCTGGTTCAAAAAGACAGATATTTTTAAATATGAAATCTGGTTCATTATAGCCTAAGAAATACCTAATATATTACCAATAATATTAAACTACAACCATACCTACTAAACAATATGTTGCCATAAAAGTACTTGAAATGAATATATGAGAATTTTAAAATTTTATAATATTGAAAATATAATTTCTCAATAAAGAATATTGAGCCATATCTTCTATGTATTGATCCCTAATGAATTAAATGAAATATTGGACTATCTTTACCTTTTCCGTTGGTACACCAATTTTCTAACACTCTCTCATTAGGAATATAATTATTATTTAAATATACATATAATTTACCTGTAGGTATTAGATCGTCATTAACTTCAGTGATTTCCTTAGCATCTATGTACACCTGATGCTTATAAATTTCCTCAAAGCTAGTATGATCTCCTGCTAGGTTGAAATAAGAATGATTGGTTAAGTTCACGACAGTCGGTTTGGTAGTTGCAGCTTTGTAATTGATTATAAATTCATCACGTTCGTTTAATTCAAATGTTACGTTTACCAACAAAGCTCCAGGATAGCCTTCTTCTAAATCTGGGGAGAGGTAACTGAGTACAAGTTGATTATTCCTGACTGTATATTCCCACACAACCTTATCAAAGCCTTTGATGCCTCCATGAAGATGATTTGGACCGTTATTAATGGCCAACTGGTATTCTTTTCCTTCGATTTTCATTTTACCTTAAAAAACTATTTTCTTCATATTTTGGAACACAAGAAGTTGTGGGTTCATTCCTCAGGATTTTTCTTTTGTCTCTATTTAAGGTATACGTTTATTGTGGCTAGTATTTGACAAATCAGCGAATTGCTCTACGGATGACCACTTTCGGAGCCAAAAGAAAAACAAAAGAAAATAGGAATACTTAATGAATATGTTTACTTTTTAAATATTTTACCTTGTGCTATTCTATTTGCAACTCTTCCCACCGTACAGCCAAAATAAGGGTTATCAGCCTTCAAATAATCCTCAATTTTATTAAATCCAAGGACAACATCGTGTATTCTCAAGTCTCTGTCTGGTACTTTTACAGAAGTTATGGTACCTCCATAGTTTATAACTTGTATTTCCACTTTCGAAGTACTTTTCCAGGTAAATCGTTTTATAATTTTTTTTACACCTTTTTCTTCAATTTCACCAAAGTTGTCTATTTTAAGGTATACTTCAGAGAGTTCAGAGTTTCCTTTATTTAAGCAAGACATTTCTAACTAAAAAGTTATTTTTTGAAACTAAGAAATCTATTTTTTTTAATTAGTTATATTTTTTAACAACAATTTAATACGTAATAATATACTTGCCTTCTAACACATTCCCGTTTAACACTTAACAACAAAACTAGTATACTTAAATTATAAATTTATTATAATCAGTTAATTTGAATACGATAACATTTTGATCTGTTCGGATTACATAATCTGTCTTATTATTAGAAATATTTCTATTACTTAGACTTATCAAGGGATTATGATAATTTAGCAATGAATGACAAGCCAGTATTTCTAAACTTCATAACTTAAGATAAATGTCAAAACATTTTTGCCTTTAGGATAAACTCGGACAAACTCACACGTAAATTTAAACGTATGATTGTTTTATTCGAGACCATAAATAAAATACCGGGTGGCCCAATAAGAATGGCAATTGTTTAAAGGACCATGGTTGTAGTACTCGTTATAACTTACTCATTAGTCATATATGGTAGGAAAAGTCTAAACAAATAAAGCTAGCAGAAAATGAAATAAACATACAACGGTGTTAAGAATGCCATCAGATAGAATACCTATTATTAATGACTTTAGGAAAATGCCAGAAAAATATGGAAATTTAAAACAAGTTAATCTGGTATAAAGAAGGTTTGAAGATGAGAACCAGCACAGGAGCTGGGATTTACCACGCAAACTTAGGGAGTACTATTAGTCTGAACCTGGGGTCATTCACAAGAGTCTTACAGGCTGAAGTAACAAGAATGAATGCCCGCGACAAAGTTATGCCAAATGACTCTTTTAAAGATAAGAGTGTCTTTATTATGACAGTCAGGCATTCCTTAAAGCACTAAAAAAGTGTCAAAGTACAATCTATATTAATATTTGATTGACAACAGTCCCTCCAAGTTCTGACAGAAAATAATAAGGGACATAAGAGAGTGTTGGGAAATGTGAAAACTGATCTCCTAGCCACAAACCAGACCAGAACCCATATCAACATGTTAAATGGCTGCTAACGGAACAGATAAATAGAAAACACCATAGGCTCTGGTTGGAATTTCTTGGACTTAGGCAGTCCAGAATATTCATAGAAGGTCCCTCCAAGAGCAGACAAAATCAACTACTAAACCTTAGCAGAAGCGAACTAAAGACCAAAATAGGACTCTTTACGGGACACTGCGACCTTATGTAAAATATGTTAAGAGGCGGACATAACTCCTATTCACATACACTGAACCTTAAATGGGAAAGGGAATAACCCTTCAGCGTACAATATCTGGAACCTGAAGAAATCGCGATAAAATCACATTTGAACTCATCAAGAATATTAACCTGATGTGGTGGAAATTGAGATGGGTATAATAATCATAGAGCTTCAAGGCGAGTGGGCTTTGAACCATATCCTAATTCAGAGAGATAAAAAGATATAGAGGAAAGTCGCCTAATTTGGTGAGGTTTCCTAATTTGGGAAGGTCCGACATTTGCTATTAGGAGGCGGTGAAACTATTTTGTACGTACCGTATCGTGAATAGTATTATTGGTTACCTATACCCCGGCCAGGATCATGTGTTTTAGTTGTAATGTGTCAGAGTTTGTTTACGCGTAGTAAATGTGCGTATTTATAAAGTTTATGAAAAATATAATTGACAATTAATTACTTTGTCAAGGTAAGCAATTTTAACAACTTATTTGTCACAAAGCACGCTATGTGAGCTAGGCTGTAAAGCCTTATATTTGATTTTAAATTTAAATTGCATGATAGAAATTTATTAGGTTAGAAATCTGAGAAAGACAAGGCTCCCAATATGGGGAGATTCAAGATCCCTTATTTGGGGATCCCTTATTTGGGATCCCCATTTTAGGGTTTTTATTTGCGCGATTTGAATACACAGATTTCCTTATTTACTTGCAGATGCTAAAAAGAAAGGCATGGGACCCTATTCAAATGAAGGCGGCGGTACAAGCTATGCGAAATAAGGAAATGGGTAGCTTCAAGGCTTCTCGAGTCTTTAGTGTCCCTCAGACAACTTTAGAACGTTATGCTAAAAATGAGGATACGTCTGCTGACGAAATAGTTAAAACAAAAATGGGTAGGAGCCCGATTTTACCTAAAGACCTTGAAGAAGAACTGGTAAGATATTGTCTTCAAATGGAGCAAAAATTTTTCGGGCTCTTACGAAGAGATGTGCGATGCATGGCTTATGAACTTGCAATCCGAAATAATTTAAAAAATCCGTTTTCTAAGGAAAGAGAGCAAGCTGGTAAAAAATGGCTTAAAAATTTTATGAAACGGCACAGAGAGCTATCTGCACGAACTCCACAAGGCGTATCCTACGTAAAAGCAAAATGTTTTACACAAGAAGCTGTTACGAAGTTTTTTGATATTTATGAATCCACTCTGGAGAAAATAAAATATTCCCCGTCACGCGTGTACAATTGTGATGAAACTGGGATCACCATAGTCCAACACAAACATACAAAAGTAGTCGAACTAAAAGGCAAAAAACAAATAAGGGCTTTACAAGCAGCAGAGCGAGGTTCACTTATCACAGTGGTTACTTGCATGAACCCGGCTGGACACTTTATATCCCTCATCTAGTAATTTTTACCCGAAAAAATATGAAGCAGGAGCTTATGGACGGTACACCCTTAGGCTCTATCTATGCATGACACCCTTCTGAATGGATCCAGTCCGAATTATTTACGGACTGGTTTAAACATTTTTTGAAACATGTTGAACCAATTGCAGATAATCCAGCTGTCCTTGTCCTGGATGGACATTTTACACACACCAGCAATATAGAGGTGATAAACCTAGCGCGTAGCAACCATGTAGATATAGTTTGCCTACCTCCTCACAGCTCCCATAAAATGCAGCCATTAGATCTTTAATTCATGTCTCCATTTAAAACTTACTACGCCTAAGAAATTGAAATGTGGCTTCGAAACAATGCAGATAGAGGAGTGGTAACAGTCTACCAAATCGGAAAACTATTTGGAAATGCAACTGCAGAAATTGCCGCCAAGGGATTTGAAAAGGCTTGTTTATTTCCATGCAATCATCATAAGTTCAGGTCTCACGACTTTCTGGACTTAAACATTGAACACGCGGTTCCAAATCCACTCAATGATGCTCAACAAGAAGCAACCCTACAAAATAACGAGTTAGCGCAAGAATCCCTTTCTACAGAACCCGGTCCGTCTGGCCTACAACGTCAGCGGCCAAGCTCTTCAAAGATTCAGGTAGACCAACCCCCAGAACCAGAAACCTCTAAGCAAAAAAAAATTGTGACTCCGTCTGACATTAGCCCCGTTCCGAGGTTGAATCCTGGCAAAAAGAGTGCCCGTTCTGGCTCGGCAGAGCTTATTACAGGTTCACCTTACAAACAACAATTGGAAGAGTCACAAAAAAAGAAACCAACTCCAAAATCTGTTTTTGGGAAAAAGGCAACCTAAACAAAAGCAGCATCTGTAAAATCAAATAGGTCCAAAAAGCTGAAAAAGACTGTAGACTCCTCAGATGAATCATCCGAAGAAGAATATGAAAAACGCTTTGTGGATGACTCAGATGACGAGATATCTGACGAGGATAAAGACGCAGAGTGCATTTACTGTGCTGGATTATTTTCGGACGACCATGATAGTGAAGACTGGATACGATGCGTTGTGTGTTACAACTGGACGCACACTTTGTGTGTAGATCTTGGACCTAAAGCAAAGAAAGTGTTTAAATGCCACAAGTGCTGCAACAAATTAAAATGTTAATGTGTTATTAATACAATGAAACGATTTTTTTTTCCTTCTATTTTTCTAAATAAAATCTATTAGAGGCATAATTCAATGTGTAATTTTTTTTTTTTAATTGTTAATATACAACCTCACCAAATTAGGTTCCTATGGGTCCCTAATTTGGGGGGACGCATTTTTTTTACAAATTCATATATTTAGGCCATTTTGAAAAAATATTAACCTTTTTGCTAATATTACCTTTCCCCAAGATAAAAGCTATATTACTATTTTTTTTTTTTTCAATTTTAGAACTTATATTTCATTTTGTTTAATAGCGTCAAAAAAAACATCCCCATATTAGGCGACTCTCCTCTACTATCGTCACAGCGAGAAAGTTCCTATCTACAAATTTTTTGTTTTGAGATAATCGAGTTTTTAACTATTTGTGGCAGATATCTATTATCTGCTGAGCGTGTGTTTAATAACTTTGCAAATTAGCTATAGTTTGCTGATAGCTATAATAGAATTCCTCTAAAGATTTTAGTAAGAGTTTATACATGTATTTTAGAGTATTCTAATATAATCGGTAGTTAAATACATAGTATTTTTTAATGTACAATACCTCCAAATTAAAACAAACTTAAGCATTCCAAAACTTAAACATAATATTTATAAGTACTTAAAAATCATAGATAAGAAACACAATAATATAATATTTAAGTTATTTGTATGAAATATAGAGAAAAGGAGGACAATCTCATATTATGGTTGTTTATGTCAAAAAGTGTACACCCAAAAGCAGCAAATAAGGTTTCTGAAAGTGACCAGAATGACGTTCGTATAAAAACCACTGAGCTTGTAAGGATATGAAAGATATACTGTTATTTTTCAAACATGTCTTTCCTTGCAATGAAAATTATGTGTCTGTCAATCGAGATACATTTTCGATTGTCATTTCTACCTGAATTTGGAGTCGAAGAAACTAATTTTGAGTTATTGAGATAATTCTATGATCAAGGGTTTTTTTTTAAATATTAAAAGCCTATAGATTAAATATGGTAAGTGCTAAAGTTAGTATTTTTTAGTTTCATACAATGCTTACATTAGAGTTACGAGATAATTTTTTTTGTGAGTCGAAAAAATTCAATATGGTTTCTGTAAAATTATTATTCATATTATTCAAAACGTTCGTCTCATCCGTCCTACCTATCCCAGTTATCCATTAATAGGTCAAAACCTTTTTAGCTTCGCAACATTTAAATGTTGTAAATTAAAAGAAAATAATTTGGATAATTTTTTTATCATATGAAAAATGATTTAGAAGCTTTTATACTAGGAGATATGAAGAATGATTTAGAAGCTTTTAGACTTGGAGATATGGAGGATAATTTGTTGATTTGGATAGTAATTAACGACTTGAGGACCTAAGAAGTTCCATACCTAGATTGTTTGGAAATCTTTCATCGTAAATGAGACCTGTTCTACCCTTTGATGAACTCCTACGTCTTTGAGATAAATCATAATTTATATTGTACCGAATACTACCGAAATACTACCGAAATACTACCGAAATACTACCGAAATACTACCGAAATACTACCGAAATACTATCGAAATACTACCGAAATACTATTTCGAAATAGATCACTTAAAGGTCATTTTATTATTGGAAACTTGTAGATTAGAATTTGGTTTTACCGTATCTTCTGAAGGCATCTCCTTTATTTTTCATTAAAATTTAATACATTTTGTTTTTGTATTTTCATCAATTACTTTTATACGTAGAGTTATGCGAATTTTAATACGGTGATACCCATTTCCTAATTTTAGGGTAGTTAAGTTATTATATCCTAGTGGCCCTTCCACGACCTTTATTAATGAGCTCATAACACTTAAATTGGAAAATCATCATTAGTGGTTACAAATATTGCCACTCATCGTTACAAATAACTAGGATCAAGAAAACCTTTTTCAGTTAATTCGTATTATAACAATGTAGGGGTGTTATAACTGTTCCTTGTATATCCCTTACAACCCATTATTTGAATTTTGTATCCTTCGTATATCTTTCTAAGTACCTAACGGTATATTTTACTGTGTATTAATGTGGAACTGGAATCAATGTATGGAATATTTCGTTGATCCTAACTCATAAAACACAATAATAATGCAATTAGTTTTAACGAGCAAGCAATTGTTTAAACTGTATTCAAAAACAATTTATAACAGTCGATTGTTTCAGTCAGTGTATAAGTAGTTATAGCACAAAAGCATATTTGAAATTTAAGGTAAGTTTCTTATTTAAAAAAGAAAAAATGTTTAGGTGCTAAATAATGGGTAGAACTCATCGAATAACGGTTCAAAAGAAATATGTGGAAGAGAAGTTTCAATGCGTACTGTATACACATCTGATCTTTTTTTCCGTATAAAAAAAAACATTTATTTATTTAACTAAATTCAATTGGATAATTCTGATTTTTAGATAGCATTCATTTAAAGTATAGGTAAGTATCGTTTATCTTTCCTGATAAAAAACATTAAATTACGAAATTCTGATCATTATTAAATTTTTTCCCATTACAGGTAGTTACAACGAAATCGAAATGAGTGGCGTCAAGTTAACAAAAGACGTTTTCGGTGAAATAAAAGATTCCAAAACAAGGCAAATAAAAACAGTATCAAGATTCACGTGGACTAATGCTAATAAGGTCAGTGTTCAAGTCATTAACTACGGAGGATATATTACTTCAATCAAGGTTCCTGACAAAAATGGCAAAATCGACGATATAACTATTGGTTTTAAAGATATAGAAAGTTATCTTAAGCCCGAGAACAGATATTTTGGTGCTACAATAGGAAGAGTAGCAAATAGGATTGGAAAAGCAAAGATGGAAATAGATGGCATTGTGTATGGTCTGGCCGCTAATAATGGAGAAAACCACCTACATGGTGGAGTAGTGGGATTTGATAAGGTTATCTGGGATGCTACTATGAAAGGTTAGTACTAAAAGTAAGTTGTAAAAAGAGAATTTAACTCTTTGAATAAGCAACTTCTGCATTTTACCTATAGGTACACTAGTTGTTTGGAACATTTACATTTAAAACACTTAAAAGTGGCCCGTTATGTTATGACCCTTTTTAAACCTATATAACTCTTGAACTAGTTGAGATAATAAGATACAGTATGATTCTAATTTTTTTTCTGAATAACAGTCTCTTTTGGTCACTACCGCTTAAAACGTAAATGACTTTTGGAAAGGCTTTTGAGCTGAGAAAAAAATTCAATTTTAAATAAATTAGTTGCCGTAACCCGAAAAATATTTAAACAAAAAAATTAGAAGAAGACTGGAGAAAAATGCATCTCATTATTCCAACTGGTTAAAAAATTATATAGGGTGCCTCTCGTCCTGTACTAAACAAGGTAACTTATAGGCACGAAACTTACCCTAAGTTATCACTCGGCTGATCTTGAAGAAAACTACCCAGGTGACTTGATTACTAACGTTACTTTCGAACTAACCAATGAGAGCGAATTTATTATCGACTACAAAGCCGTAACCACGAAAATCTGCCCTGTGAATATGACCAATCATTCTTATTTCAATCTTGCCGGAAATGGTACAGGTGCTGAAGAGTTATACAAGCATATTGTTTGCATTAATGCTGACAAAATTACCGAGGTTGTGGAAGCAATACCAACAGGTAAAAAAGATATTTATTATTTTAGTCCATCAATTACTTTAAAATGTACTAAAAAATTCGGAGTAATTTCTTTAAATTTACCTTTTATTTACTTTTTATTGTAGGAAAATTAACAAGCGTCTTGGGTACAGCCTTTGATCTGCGAGTACCTACTGAACTAGGACAAGTAATTAACAAAGTACCAAATGCTCCAGGATTCGATCATAATTTCTGCATTTCTAAAGGATCCAAACAAGATAATGCTTTCCTAGCCAGTGTCTACCATCCGGGTAGTGAAAGAGTTATGGAAGTTTATAGTAACCAGCCAGGTGTGCAGTTTTATACTGGTAACTTCCTTCCTAAAGAAGATGTTTTAAAAGGAAAAGATGGCTTTATTAAAAAACATGGAGCGTTGTGTTTGGAAACTCAGAAATATCCTGATTCTGTTCATCATGTAAGTTCAACAAGTTTATCGTAGATGAATTAAAAAGGCATTATCTTAAATGTAACCTACAATTTTTAATCAAATGCGCTAAATTAATATTATTAGAAAACTATTGTGTGTGATACATTGCTTGGAATAAAGAGCAATAAAATATCACTAGGAAGGTGATAGGTGTATTCACACTGGGTGATTAAGAAATGAAACTAGTAGGTATTTTAAGTGTGCAAACTGGGGTCAGAACAATATAGAATTTAAGTGGATCCACAAAAAGCAATTATTGTGTAATATTTTGAAATATCAATCAGCCATACACACACCAATATATGGGCCAGTTCTTCTTGGTTCGATGCTGCTATTTTTATCAGCTGGCACACGAAGACATCTCAAAATTTTCATTTGCTTTGGTATTTTTTAATTTCTTCACTGGTTGGGCTGTTGAGCTTAATATTGAAATCACCTTTTATGTTGTAACAGACGAAGTCCTGATAATGGCCTAATAAGCCGAAAGCGTTAGACTAATTTTAATTAAAGACAGGATCATATTAAGATAATCCCAGTTTACTAGTTTAATTTCTTAATAAAATGTCTCCCTCCCCAGTAGAGATTTGAGTATGAGCGCTTGAAAAAACGATCTTGATGATTCAATTTGTCTGGTAAAATTTGACTATGTAGGGGAAAGTGTCCTAAAATGACATAGCTGCTAAAATGACACACTTGCTCTATATAGGAAACTAGAATCGGCATCTCTTATTCGGCAACTGTACTAAGTAACAAACACTCTAATAAAATATACTATAAGTTTACAGATCTCTCCAGGTTTATTTAACGGTTTTATTGTGTAGGTTATGTTTCAGTGGCAAGAAAGTATTAAATATTGTGTTGGCATTAATTGTTATATGTGAACAGTGAACAATTGATTGGTAAGTAGGTTTTTTAATAGCGACTTTAACATTATCAATAATAATCTATATATTGAAAATGTAACATTGCGTTCATGGAGACTACACAAGGAGCACGCACTCAAGTGTGGCATTTGCCAGAGTATGTCCGCGCTTTATCGTATAAATAAAGCTTTCTTTTTTCACCACTAGCGTCGCTAATTTTTCTTTTGTATCGGTGTGAATATAGAGGAATAAACAAATGTGAAGTTAGCGTGAAAATAAAGTAACCGATTATTTAATTAACGTAAACACGTGTCAAATGTTTTTAAATTAAATAAATATAATTAGAATTATAATTAATTAATTAATAATTAATTAGAATTATTTATTTTATTTCAAACTACCGCCTCATTCTCTTATGTCATTTTGGTACTTATGGAACACTAGCGCCCTCTTATAATACTCTGTTTAACACAGTACGCTTGTTATACATGGAGTGCGTACTCCTTGTGTAGTCTCCATGATTGCGTTTAAAATGACATATTGTGGTTGTTGTTAAAATGACTAAGTATGTCATTTTATACGACGCACAGTACAATTTCTAGTCTTTTTAGTACAATGATTTATATTAATTGTAATTCGATCTTTAATTTTTTTTACAGATGACCATGGTTGAAAGGTACGTCAGAAAGACTAACAGACAGTCCTGGGATGAAGCGTCTATGCAGCAAGCTATAAAAGATGTACAAGAAAAGAGAATGGGATGACTAAAAGCATCTAAAGTCTATAACGTTCCCCAAGCAACTCTTAGACGTAGAGCTGCTAATAAGAATAAAAGAGTTAAAGGTGTAGAGAAAAGTCTGGGCCGATATTCAATAACTTTTGATTCCCAAACGGAGAAAGAGTTGATAAAACACCTAAAATATTTTGAATCTAGACTGTTCGGCTTAACCACAACCGAAGTGTTTTAATTAGCTCATGAGTTTGCGGAAAAAATAAACTAGATCATAGATGTAATCGTGAAAAAGGAATCGCAGGAAAAGAGTGGCTCAGAGGATTTCGCAAAAGAAATACCGACATATCTATACGACGGCCAGAACCCACTTCAGTAGCCAGGGCACGAGCTTTTACAAGCCTCAAGTTTCCAAATTTTTTGAGGTTTTAGATTCTGTTCTACAAGAGAAATCTATCACTGTTGAGAAGATTTACAATATGGATGAAAGTGGACTGTCTACTGTCCAGAAACCTCCGAAAATATTCGCATCAACTGGGCGCAAACAAGTAGGATCCCTGACAAGCGCAGAAAGAGGCCAGTATGTAACTGTTGTTTGTTGCATGAGTGCAATAGGTAACTATATTCCTCCAGCCTTGATCTTTTTAAGAAAAAACAAAAAAGATGAACTTTTTAATAAAACACCTCCTGGAAGTTTAGGTTTGTGCCAAGAGTCTGGTTGGATGAACTCAGAACTCTTCGTTTAATGGCTGAAACATTTTTGCAAACATGCTAATCCCTTTCCGGAAAATAAAATACACCTTCTGCTTGATGGTCATGTAAGCCATACCTCCTTAGCAGCTGTGTCGTTTTGTAGAGAGAATAACATCATTCTCATGTGCTTCCCAGCTCACTGCACCCACCATATGCAGCCGCTTGATGTGAGTTTTTTTTGGACCCCTAAAGGCATATTACAATCAGGCTTGTACCACATGGATGAAAAATCATCCAGGTCGTGTTATTACAGCTTACCAAGTGAGTGAACTCTTTTCTGAAGCGTATAATAAAGCAGCCACAATCCAAAATGCGATTGCTAAAGCGGATTGCTTTTAGCGGATTTGCTAAAACAGGAATCAGTTCATTTAATTCCAAAGTTTTTCCCGATTACCTTTTTGTACCAACCGACACAACTGATATTGCACTAGAAGATACTCAGGCTGAAACACCAAATTCGTTGGGGGAGCAGCTTCATGATGACAATCAAACAGAAAAGGAAAATCAACCAGTGTCGTTTGTGAACTTCCAATCAATAGTAATGAAGAAGACAAGACAGTAGTCGCAAAGATGCCATTTTTAGAAATATCTCCACCTCCAAAAGCAATATACCAATCAAGAAAAAGGAATGTAACAAAAAAGTACGCGGTTATAACATGTTCTCCGAATTTTGAGGAATTGAAATATAAAAACGAAGAGCAAGCAAAGAAAAAATCAAAAATTGACGCACGGAAAATTAAAAAGAAGATTTCCTGTGACAACTCTAAAGAACAAAACATGTCAGAAGCACATTGTTCTAAATTACATATGAATTTGCGTGATCAAACTACAAAAAAGAGTCCCAAGGAAATAATTGAAGATGAGACAGATGAAGAAAGTGAAATCTTTCAAGAGACTGATGATGAAGATGATGCGTCTTGCATCTATTGCAATGGGTTATTTGGGGCATCAAAATCTAAGGAAACTTGGATCCAGTGTATGCTGTGTGATTTGTGGGCTCATTTGGAGTGTACAGATGTAACTCCAAAATCAGACATTTATTTGTGACTTGCGCAATTAATTTTTACTAATATTTTGATACTTTGTCATTTTGGACACCCCCCAGTGTCTAAAATGACCTTTTATCTAAGAAAATGACATAGTTCAACTAATAACATTTTAGGTCTCTGTTCCATTTATTTTTCATTATATTACGTTTTTCTTTAGGAAATTTAAGGATTATTCATTTTTATTTGCCCTTCTGTGAAAATATTTTCAAAATAAATCAACGCAAAAAATCATGATTTTTTTATAAAAAGTATGTCATTCATCGAATTTTAAATACGATTAGTTATCACATCGTGATTAGATTTAGAACTCATACCAACTGAAGTGAATGTTTTGTGGTGGTGCTCATAACTCATAACCTTACTTTATGTTTATTTTGAATTGGAGGACTTTGAAGTGATATATGTTTATAACAATATGAAATATATTGTAGTTGGTAATGAAGTGTTGCACAATGCATTAGAATCAGGCAAATACGTTAATTTATAATTATGTAGTTGAGTAATTTATTTGTGTTTTATTCTAAATTTTGTACCTATGTTTTAGATGATGACTTTTTTCTGAAGTATATGTCACTTTTATGTCGCCTGTCGAAGTGCCTAAAAAGTTCATTCAGGTGATTCACTAATCGATAAGTCATCGCTAAGTTATCGTTTGAGTCTGCTGAATGCGGCCATTATAAGACACCTTCCCCTACCTGACATAGCAACATTGTAGGAAATGATAATGCTGATAAGCTTGATAAAGGAGCTCAATAATTTTCTTTACAGTATAGTGCCTAAACTATTAATGGTCCTTTAAATGGAACATAGAAACAGCAAAAAGTCGCATAAAAAGCATATAGAGAAGAAAAAATATTATCTCTATCACATTTTTTTACATGTCCTTGTTTAGGAATAAATCTACTTCATGAACTCTTATTTAGAAATTGTATTTGCTAGTTGGAAAATTTTTGAAAAGAAAATACAAGTAAGATAAAATTCTAACAAGAATTGAATCTCTGAAAACTGTTTCTTTTTTCTTTTAGCAAGCTTCATGTCTCTTTTTTTATCACTGTCAGCTTTATCAGTCTGTGTTATCCACATCAATAACGTTTAAAAAAAATATCACTCTCATTATTTCCCCATTTTGCATCTTCAGACAAAATATTGATTTGGGATAAATCAACTTTAATTCTTCTTCCTCAGTCAGACTCTCTCATCTAATCTAATCTTTCTAAAAACGGTTTTTACCCCCTAACAACGTAAATTCCAGAAGTAATCATCAAAATAATTCCTCTGTCAATGAGTATACTTTGTTAATTTTTTCCACTAAAATGCATTTATGGCTGTGTAGGGACATAGTTTTGTAACCAACTTTTTATGGATATTCAAAAAACTCGCAGTAATAAAGCCAGTACCATTTCAAAAAATAACAGTTGTCCATACCAATAACAGCAATTCATAAAAAATATTACAAACTCTTAACAAACTAAATAATTAAATGTTAACTAAGAAAAACGCACTTGCTATTATTACCTGCATACGAAGCATGGTATCAAGATTGGTTTACGTCTGTTAGTTTGAAAATGATAAAGTAGACAGCACTCTAGGGTACAAAGCCACCTAGATTTACTTGACTGCAGATTTTACTATTAAATGGTATTGCAATTGATGTCCCCCTCAAAGGACAAATCCACTAAAAGGGTTAAGCAAAACTACTTAACAAGTTCCACTAACACGTTGTTCAGGGCAAAATTATTAGAATAATAGTTACTGTTATAAGTCTGCGTTAGATCAGCCCAACTCCTTATTAAGTGATATTGTATAGAAAAAAACCGTAGCATATACAAACAGAAATAAAGGTAAATCAAATATCAAAACTCCTATGGATTTCTAAACATCTTGAAGCGCCTTTGAAAGGAATCCAGTGAATATGATAAATGTTATCTATATTCTCATTTCATAAACAAGCCTAGTGTTAAAGAGGCACAAGTAGGCATGCAGCTCTTGTGACACTCCATTATATTAGAAAAGCTTCAATAGAATCAGTGCTATCCTTTTAAAGAAGCATCAGTATTTTAACTTTCAATCAGCTACATTTATGAAGGAATTCAAGTGCAGAGGTTAACTTCGATGCTAAAACATACTAGGCTGGGCTGAAAAGTAGTTGGCCTAGGCAAATGATGGTGCCTCTTCTCATATATACCAGTGTTGGAACAGATACAGGAAAAACATATCCGAGTACCAGATATGGTCACTTACATTGTAACCGGATACTTTTAGCTAAAAATATATTCGGGTACAAGTATCCGGATTCTTTAACGGATACTTATAAGGATAGTTTTAAGAATAGTTTTAATTATACTTTTAAGGGTGCATTTGAAAACATTTTTATTGATACTTTTAAGGATACTTTTAAAGATACTTTTAAGGTTACTTTTAAGGATATCTTTAAGGATACATTTAAGGATACTTTTAAGGATACTCTTAAGGATACTTTTAAAGATACTTGAAAAAAAATCATGAGAGTTACGGACAAAAAATGTTTCTTTGGACTTCTACGTGAAGTATTGCAAATTAATATTAAATATTGTAATATTAAAAAAAACTTATTTTATTTTTAATACAGGGTTCTGCATCTGTAACGTGTAGAGGCTGAGTTAGCCCACGGCCCATATGCCTCACTAGGTCAATTGTGCATCCTCCTAAGATGATAGGAACTTCCATGCTCGTGAGTTCTGGAGGTCTTAATTCCATTTTCATCCTTGTTCTTGTGAAAAGGCCATTTTTGTCTTCTTGGGATTGATAGAATGGTCCTTGTACCACTGTTCTATAATTCTGAGAGCTACTTGCATTTTTTCGCAGAGTATGTTCTCAAAATTCCGCCAATACAGGGTTATTCAAAAGGTGTAAAATACAAAAAAATATTTCGGTTATAACTATATAATAAAATACATTTGATTTATGAAAATTTTTAATAAAAACAATATGGAATGGATATGAAAATGACGAAATGACCACATAAAAAGAAAAGTATAATCAGTGAAGAGTATATATATAGGATTTGAGATACGCCTGTATAAAATACGGCGATGTCCTGCGGTATATATTACTGAAGGAATTTCTTTTAATGATTTAAAAGTATTCGAATAACTAAAAAAAAAAACAGTATCTTAGATACTTACATATTTGGTCACAGATACAGATATCAGATACAGATACCGAATACAGAACTATCCGGATACTACCTAACTCTAATACGTACCAAGTTATTAAAATATAACATTTTTTATTTTTTTTTTAATCAGAATCATAAATAAACGACCAAAAATTCAAGTTTTCACTTACTTCTAAATAAATACCTATTGTACTTAATAAATATATAATAAAAAACAGAAAATTTTTCGACTTGTTCAACAGTAAGCGAGTACGTGCATTGAATATTTTTAACGCACCTCAACCGCTTACCTTCTTAAACTCAACCGAAAACTGAATGGAAGATCTAAAGAAAAGACGAGCAAAACGAGTTCTTGTAATTATAATCCCATCCACATCTGCTGGTCGCCTCATATCGGACATTATAAATCACTACCATGAATACGCAATAATCGGATAATTGGTGCTCCCGTTGCGTTTTTATAATTTATCCCAAGGACGTACACAGCGGGGCATGTGGGCCATACTCAACCCCCCATCACCGAAATGAAAAGATATTGCTGTAGTAAAATTTTTATTTTTATTTTGCATGATTTTAGTTAAATGAATGTGCAAGTATAAATTTATCGACCCAACGACGGTTGGGGAACGCATAAAATATACAGGAATAAACTGTTCGATAAAAGTATGATTGATTGTTGTAACACATATGGAGAGACATTTTGTGCAATGGACAGTTATTCAGTATATTATATTGAATACTATTTTTTCTTACTTATACAATGTATCACAAGTAAGAATGTGTAGCAGACAGCGTTGCCAGTGTCAGTGCTAAAGTACTGAAATCAGTGCTTTTTGGCCATGATCAGTATACTTCGCGTTATATAAAACTGTTACACTTATTTTTCCCAATGTAATACCAACTTTACTTTTGAAAATGACAAACAGTAAGATTTGTCAAGTTTGTCAAAGCGCATTGTTACGATGCCAGGTCATTAGAGTAAGTTTGATAACATTTACAAAATAGAAGATGGTTCGTCTATTAGACGACTGGCTCAAGAATTTAATAGAAGTAAAACCACGATTGAGAGCTTGACAAAAATGGGACAACAAATTGTAAACAGAAAAAGAGGTAGACCAGTTATAACTATAGTACAACAAGATGGAACATTAACTAATTATTTACGGCAAGATAGACAAAAGTTGAAACAAATCTTAATGCTTCAGTAACAAAAGCATTATGGATAATTAGAAAAACTGATTTAAAGAATTATGCAGCTGAGCCCCCCTGAAAATACAAACTTAATAAAGTAAATTAGAGTTATCTTTACCTTAAATTTTATTATGTTTTAAATGATTCAATAAAGCTCGAAAAGTTATCAATAAATTTAATTAACTCAGTGCTTAGATTATAAGAAATTATTAATAATGGAGCTATGACAAGATAATAATTATTTATTTCATCTGTTTCGAATTGTAAATGTATTTAAATTTTACACTCATTCATTTTTAATTGCATTAAATTTTAAATTTTTACATCGCGTTTTATTGCTTTACCAAATTTATTTGTATCATTAAATCTACTAATATTTTCGTTGTGCTAGCAACGTTGTTCTAGAAATTATAACCTGAAAAGATTTTTAACTTTGACACATTTTAAAAGCTTGAAAAGCACGATTTTTTGTTATAAGAGTTGTACCACTTTTATATGACGCGAAGTGTACCTCAGTGCTACCTTTTATACTTCAGTGCCTTTTTCTGTTCAAAGCAAGAAGCTTAAAAAAAATTATTGTTTTGTTTTCACCCTCAGTAAAAAACTTTTACATGCTTTTCTCCTCTGTTTGTAATTTACAAAATCATCTGTGTGTAATCTGCTTGATTCACAGAGTTTAGAGATATATACCTGATATATTAGATGTAAGAATAGGAACTAAGAGAGGCAGACAGTAATGTTAAGCCTTGGTTTCTTTGAACACTCCGTCGCGGTGAGCGGACAGTCCGTCGACCGCTGAGGACAGCAATTTTCGCCCGAGGTGGTTTGTTAAAAAATATAGAAAATGATACTTTCTCTAGGTCTGTACGTGCTGTTTATGTATTATGAATGTAAACGAAAGGTACTAAAATGGATGCAAATAAATTGTTTGCGTTGTTATTATTGTTGGAAGAGGAAGAACAAGAAGAACTGGCAATTGCAACCGTCAAAGTTTCCAATAAGCCAGTGGATAAGTTGTTTTTGTGTCGCGATACAGAAGGTGTCTTTAATATCACTGTGCAGCGGAGGTTTTGTGGAAATGAAACCAAATTTAGGGAGTATTTTAAACTTCCTACAGATCTTTTTGAATTCGTGTTGAGTTTTATAAAGGACATAATTTCCAAGAAACCTAATCATGATGTCATCTGTATGTGTGAATTTGTCACTCATTGTTTTAAAATTAATAACAATATAGTCTCCGCACACGCCGACGATTCCACTGATATCAAACTCAACATATATCAACCGACTCTTCACGACAAATCAGCGGCATGACGCCGTCCTGCTCAGCTAAGCGGATTTAAGAAAACCATTCCCATTTAAATACTCTGGTTGAATAAAATCGTCAAAACGCGACGGTTGACGGACTGTCCGCTCACCGCGACGAAGTGTTCAAAGAAACCAAGGCTTTACTGCGAATAATGGATACAAGAAATAGCTTTAAGTTACGTCCATACCAGTCACGAAGAATCTGACGCTAGGTCGCACAATGACAATGACAAATGATTTGTGCAATTTGTGTTTAAAAATAGAAAATAACCTCAAATTTACTACGAAAACGTTGATAGTTTGGTTAAGCTATAGCAGACATTTCTTAACATTATCTCGTTAACTAAAATTACTAAATTAGATGATTTTATTGATACCTTACTCATGTTTTTTAAATAATGATTAGTTATTTTTTATAGGACAATTTTCCTACCACCATCATATATCCAGGAGAGCAGTACCACCATTCCGTAATTTTCAAGTTTTTTGTTAAAACTTAATTTGCTTCTGTATATCCATCTGTATATTTTAAATAAAAATATCCAATAAATATTGAATTGATTTTGAATTTTTAACCCAATAAATAATTTACTGGATATGAAAGTTATTATTGAATTTTACTAAAATTTTTAGCAGATATCACAGATTTAACATATTTATTTAGATGTAAGATAAACTGGTAGCTTATGTGATTTAAACCATTAATATGATGATGTATTTATTGCATGAACGACAATAAATTAATTAAGTGCATCTTCAAATAATTGTTCCAAATTCATATAGGAACTTACAGCCACTAAAAAATCTGGCGTTCCGCAAGAATATCACAAACCTTATATATTTGTTGTTTTTTCAAAAGTTTATGAGTATTTTTTTAAATATACCGTACATTAACATTTCTTTGGAATATACCAAAAGATTATTTCATATATATTCGTTTCACAAACAAATAGGATTTTATTCCAACTGGAAAAATATAATTTAGCACCCTATATACAGATAACAGACACTTTTGTAATAAACTATAAAATATTTATCAAACGGTTATTATACTTTCATAATAGCAGAAAAATTTGATAATATTTAATTATACACTATCCAATAGGACAGGGCTAAAACCAATTTGATTCAAATATAAAAAAACTGACAATCCTCTGGAAATCCGAACCATTGAATATAAGAGTTTGCGGCAAAGGTAAGGTATGATCAGCAGATCGTTATCTACAATCTATGTCAGTTTCGTGAAATTCTCACGGAACGGGATTTATCAAAAGATTACTGAGAGGCCCTTCTTTAAAAGTTCATCCAGTTCGTAGTATATTAATAGTTGTAATTAAAACTTAAAACCATTATAGTAAATAAAAGTAACAAACTTTGTATTTTATAGACATCCAAATTTCGGAACTAATAAAGCAATTAACTATTTTAATGAACCACAGACTGATTTAAGATAATATTCGATAAGGTGCCCACACAACAGCATTTTAAATATTATTTTATGTAACAGTCTTATAATCTCAGAATCTTTAGTCCAGTTAAGAAAGCGCGTTAATAAAAAATCTCCAATTTTCACATCATTTATAATAAAATTATATAAAGATTAGAATAATTTGAAAATACTGAAAAAATCTCAAAAATCCCCCTACGAATTATTAAGACCATCCCCGAAATCCAAAGGTGAAAACTTATACTTGGAGATTAGAGAAAAAGGCCTGTTTTGCCCATGGAATTCGAATTCAGACATCTTTGTTATGTACACAAATGCCCTTATCACTAGAACATGAAACGATTCTTAGACAGAAGTTTGATGTACTAGATCGGGCCAGACGTCGTTCACACTCGTTCTTAAATCTTCAAATATCTCTCTACAGCATCGGTATATATTATAAATGCATTGATGCGTACTAAGCTCATATCTTTGTCTGCGTAAGTTAAGTTCTCAATGTACGTTAAGCTAGTCCTTGACGATAAACTGGTAAAGGCATTTATCTAGAGAACAAAGATGTATAAGTTCGAATCCCGGTGAAGACAGGCTTTTTTTCAAATATCCAAGTATTTGTTATCTCCTTTGGGGTACGGGGATAGTCTTAATAATTCGTAAGGGTATTTTTTAGATTTGTTTCCGAATTTTCAAAAATTTCTACAACTTATTACAGATGTGTCTGACTATGTGGATTTCGAATTACGGTCTACGATATATTTAATCTTGACAGACAGTGTCAGGTCTAGAGGTAGACCATGACAATATTGACTGTCGAGAGGTAGAGCATTTGTGTACAGAACAACGATATCTGGGTGCAAATCCCGGCAACGACATCCTTTTTTTTAAATTTCTAAGTATTTGATTTCACTTTTGGGGTTCGGGGATGGTCTTAATAATTCGTAATATAATTTTTAAAATTTGATTCCGAATTTTCAAATTATTCTACAACTCATTTCACATATTTCTAACTTTTTGGATTTTGATTTGCGATCTAAAATATATTAAATTCACAATTTTTATTTAAAGTTGTGTTGTTTTTGAGTTATTTTAAATAAACTAAAAATGGCTGAGTTTGTTTCAATAGTGGCTTAAGCGTTAATTTGACATATTTCAAAGTATTTTCTAATGGAAAACATTTTGGTAGAAAATGTCTAAATGAGTAAACCAACTTTTGATATAAGGTTTGTTCCAACAACGATTTTGGAACAATACATAAACCAATCCAAAACTTATTGTTGACAATCTGTCGACGACTAGTAATTGACAACTTGTCAGGTACTGGTCGGGGATTGGGACTACTCAACTCAGAACTTGATTATGTTGGAACACATTTTTTAAGTTCAACAGACGCACTATTACAATAATAAAACACAAAAAAATGAATGATACTTAACAAAAACTATGAAGACTAAACTCGATTAACAAATACAAATCAGAACTGTCAGACACAATAGATACAAATAATATAATTACAATCACGAAATGTTCAGTTTATTGCGGCTTTGCGCATGTCTTGACAATTCGTTCCTATTCAGACCCAGGAACTGATTTGACAGTACACAAATCGGTGTGTGATTAGTTTTGGTTGTGTTGGAACACTATGTTTTTGTACAGTTTTGAGTCTAAGGTTTGTTGGAACACGAATTCTAGACTGCGCAGAATCTCGACAGTACGCAAACTGATTTGGTTTATGTTGGAACAAACCTTTTATATATGAAATGTTGACATTTTTATATGTATGTGTCATTACATTATAATTTTAAATGTTATGCATTCAAATGACTTATCAAGCAAAGCTCCCGGTGGAAAGGGCTCGTATATCTAAGGGGGTTGCGACATAGCCTCTCATCTTGGGCGCTATTTTCATTCGAAAATGTAGTCGCCAAGTCTATAAATTTATGAAAAATGAATTATTGGTTTCTTAAAAATAATATTTTAATTGTGTTTTTGACATAACGTATTTAAATGTAATCCATTATTCATGATTTTACATGTTGCAGATAGAATACATTGAATGTCGTAACCCCTTAAATATAACTACCCTTCCCACCGACAGCTATTTTGTTTAGAATGCCTTATAGTATAATAATTTATATTTAAAAACTATTGGGCATTCCAAACTGAATGGCTACCAGTGGGTTCTGATGGGTTATGATATGGCAAAATTATGGCAACCCTGTAGGCCTGGTGATTTGACAAGGTCAATGAAATAGATAGTTACATAGATTGATCATCCATATTTTTCAAAATAAACCTAAGCTTATGCCTTGAAGTAAAAATGTAAGCAATTATTTTTTTTTAAATATCTAAAGGCTAAAAATTGGTTTTAAAACACATTTTTGCTAAACAGATTCAAATTAATAAAACGACCAGCTTTGAACAATCTATATAACTATATATGTATCATTGACCCTGTTAATGACAACATGACAACAGGGTTGCCATATCTAAACTGTCATTACCCACTGGTAGCCATTTGGACAGGTCGTTGGAATGCCTAATAATAGACTAACTATTGGAAATACATCCAACATATTGCACTAATTCATCAGACAAGCCCAGTCCCTAAAAGACAAACTAATCAATCAAGTAATAATCAAACAAGTAACTCTTCAATAGTACTTTAATAATCAACGAAATCAATAATCTGACCCTGGCTTGCAAATTAGGTAAAGGGTCCGAGAGTAACGGATCGTAAAGGTTATAATTATTTGACCAATCCAAGAGCAACACACTAGAAAGGTCATAGTGTAAGGCGTCAAGAAAAATCGAAAGACAATAGGTGGGAGAGACGAAAGCATAAATAGGGAAAGCTACCTTTCTAGAAACACAGATCTGCATAAATTTACAAATATGCACTTCGTGCGAAAAGTTTTTTAGCCGGTTTAATAGACAATTAATAAATTTCAAGTTGTTCAAATGTATCATCTGCTGCATTGTAATCGGTTCAATAAGTTTTAATAGGTAAAATTTTCTCTTAACAGATATTAATCACTTTCCGACCCGATATGTAATAAATAATTAATCCGGTTCGTTTAATTGTATGTGTATTATTTTCTTTTTAATTCCTTTAATACACATTTAGTATAACATTTGGTTTAAATTTAATTTGTGTTGGCTGCAAAAATTATTAGCTCAACTGAAATTTTTGAGTTTAGCTTAACTAAAATTTTTGTATTTAGCTTAACTAAAATTTGTGTTTTTAAAAACAAAAAACTAGCAAAATGTACATCCATAATTTTTACTTAAAAAGTCCTCCAATGTATATCAATGAATATTATAATAATTTGAAAAATAGTATTTGTTTTTTTGACATAGGCACATTGCCATTCAGCCAGACACAGATTCATCCATAAGTAGAACTACCCAAGAATATTTCCTAACAGCAAGAGGAGTAATGTGCACATATCATTTATTTTTAAAAATGTTTAACGCCTTGATATGTAACATTGAGATTTTTATTTGCAGAAAAAAGCAGGAATTTTTTCTTCGCTTTTTTTGGCAAATAAGTTACATTTTTTCCTGATCAACATTAATTTCCTCGTTATTTCCTACTTTAGAAATTTTTAATATTTAATTGAAAATATTTAAAAAATCAGCCAAAATCGTACAAGATTTAATACTATGTAGGTACTTTTTAAATATTTTATTAAGATCGAGCAAAAAAAACCCAAAATAAAATCCACGTTTCTATTAGGGCAGCCTCCTTTAATTGTTAATTTATTTTCATATGTAATATTTGTTGTTATAGCAGAAACAGAAGTACACATTCTGAGAACATTTCAACTGTATCTCTTTCGGATCATGAGATAGAGCCCGCTGATAGACAGACGGACGGACAGCAGAGGCTTAGTAATAGGGTCCCGTTGGTTACTTTTTAGGTACGGAACCCTAAAAACAATACTGTTTCTATCACCACTGCTAGTTTAGAAATAAGCTCAGCCACGGGGTTGCCATTTAGTAAGTAAAACATATATGACATCTCCCCTTTCCAATTCCCTGGCATTAATCTAATTTAGAAAATGGGGTATCAATTTTTAATATTGATAATCCTAAATATAATAGTGAAAGA